GGGCTGCTCCTGGTAGGGCAGAGGCAGTTGGGGTACGGAGAGAGCCCAAGAGCCCAGCAAGACCCAGACCCGTGAGACCCTGGTCTGAGAGCCCTCAGGGCAGTGCAGGAGCAGCCATGTCAACTGTGGCATGAGGGCCACTGAGCTCTGGTGACAGAGGATGCTGGCCGCACACACCGTGCCTGCTGTGAGGAGTCCAGTCAGCTTGTGGGCTCTCTGCTCTTCTATGGGAGGGGAGACCAGCAGTGGGTGAGGGTTCCCCAAGAGTGCCAGGAAAGGTCCCCACCAGCCTAGCCCCCCTAACCTCCCCTGGCTAGCAGAGCAGAGGCCCTGGTCCCTGGGTGCCTGACAGACGGGCAGCGCGGTGGCCTTCCCTTCACTGTCCTGCTGTGGCTGAACTGCCCACCACCTCAGACCCAGGGCAGCCTCCCCAGCAGCCCATGGCATGCAGCTGGGGCTCTGCACCGGGGATGGGCTTCCCAGGCTGGGCTGAAAGGGGGACATGGAAGGGGCAGCACCCTGATGCAGGCCAGTGTCAAGCGTCCACAGTGCCACGCCAGCTGTCTCTTCCTGAGTGACATGAGGTGGCTCCTTCCTGCTGGCCCTGACTCAAAGGCCCCCACCTGCAGGGAAGTACTCATCCTGAGCCACCTTTCACAGGCAAGACTCGGTGGAAGCCTCCAAAGCGACCCCGACAAGAGCACCAAAGGGCGCACCCGAGAGGCCACCCAGGAACAGAGGCCACTCCGAAGCCGAGCTGCTGCCATCAGGGGGGCCAAGCCCAAGACACAGGATGCTAGGAGACAGGACAGCAGAGATGACACCCAGCAGGTTGCAAGAGACAACCTCTCGGGGCTGGCTCACTGCAAGGTCCCTGAGAGGCTCCCTTGGCAGTGGTAGGAGATGCCTGCCAGGCTGGAGGGTGCAGGCCCCAGAAGTGCCGAAAGATGCCCATTGATTGGTGCTGGGCTCTTGTGGGGGCAGGTGGGGATCAGGGAACACTGCTGCCCACAAGGGACACAGGAAAGCCTCTCAAGAGGGGGGCTTCACAGCCACAGGGGCCCACAGATCAGCACCCAGACCGGTGCCACAGGCACATGCACCTGTGGGGTGGGGGGACTGCGGCCCATCCTGGGGTATTTCACAGCCACCCAGACGCCTTCGAGTTGGGAAGTGACTGGGCCACACACACAGGAGCCTGGCCATGGTTACGATGGGGCCTTGTGTAGCCCCGCCTTGGCCAACAGAGGCCATAGATCGGGAGTGAAATCCAGAAGGTCCAGCAGGCAGAGGCCGGGGGGATGGAGGCACGCTGCTGATGGAGGGAGCCGGCTGCCTGCCCTACTGCGGGCTCCTGGCCCTGCCCGCAGCCAAGCAGATGGAGAGGCGCTGAGGGCCTAGGCCCTGTGGAGAGGCACATAATCCCGGACACGCTGCCTGGGCTTCCGTCAGCAGAAGAGCTAGAGGACGCCCGTATGGCCGCAGGGCGCGCCAGCACCTCACGCCTGGCTGTCACCTGCGGCAGGCTCCCAAGAGCAACCGGCCAGGGTGTGCGCCTGCTAAGCCAAGTTTCTAGGGGTGCTGGTCCTGTGCAGATGCAGCCCCTTTCCTTCACCTCCCAACACAGGTATGGTTTACAGGCTCCTCACCATGGCCCCACGTGGGAAGAGCTGCTACCCGCCCTGGGGGAGTTATCGATCCATGACTCCCAGGGTCCCCTGCCCTCCACGAGCCCAAGCACCTCAAGCACACAGTCAACTCGCTCTGAATCCAGGACGGCCAGTGAGGTTATCAAGCTGCAAACACAGAGGCTGACCACAAGCCACAGCCAGGGGTCCTGCCTGATAGGCACCCCAACCCTGCCAGAGGCTCCCCTAGGAACAGGCCAGTGGGCAGAAGACGAGGCCGAGGCTGGGAGGAAGGAGTGGCCCAGAGAGAGGGCAGGGGCCGGGGGGAGCACCAGGCCTAGGAAGAATGAAGCCCCGGTGTGGGCCCCAGGGGGGGGGCACGCACTGTGTGTGGATGGGGGGCTCAGGCCAGTGCACAGCCAGCACTGGCACCCCACTTTGTGGATGAATTGCTGTCAATTAATTGCATCCCTCCAGGAAAGAGAGCTTGCTTAAGAGACCATCCTGTGGGGTATGCGACCCCTTCCCTAGGCGGGTCTCCCCAGTCATGGAGGGAGGAGATGAGCTCAAGTCCCCTGGGCAGCAAGCGGGGTCACCTCAGCCCTGCATGCCGAGGACTACCTGCCTTCTGCAGGTCTCAGGCCGAGGCCTGCCCTTGGTCTAGGCTGCAGGGCAGGAAGCGGAGGCCTGGCAGCAGAGCTCAGGGAGGCCAGTGCCGGGGGCATGCGGGCTGCCGGCTCCCCACCTGAGTCAGCGGCCCTTCACCCTCACAGGGAACTCTGGGCAGCCCCCCACCACGGCCCTCACCAGAGGCAGACGTGACCCTGCCTGCCGGCCTTCCACAGGCCTGTCATCCCGGCTGGGTCCCCTCAACCCATCTGAAGGACAAAGCCATCCGCAGGTCCATGCTGGAGCTGCCAGACCCCCGCGTGCCCTTGAGAGGTGTGAACCTCTGGCTGCAGTGTGCTGGCGCCTGCTCCCTTCCCTGACTCGCCAGCAACACCTGCGCCCTAAGGCCTCTGGAGCCCCCCTCCGCAGCCTGGAGGCCGCACTGTCAGGGAGGGGCAGAGCTTGGGAAGGGAGCGGAGGCCGCAGGCCAGGCAGAATCTCCCAGGCGGGGACCCAGGTGGGACTCAGCCTTCCATCCCTGGGTGGGGCAACCAAAGTCCCATTGCACGCGAGGACAGTCTGTGCGTATGTGCACTCATGTACCCCCTGCACACCCATGAGTACCCCCACGCACTCCCACAGTGCACTGACACCCCTTCACAATCAGAATTCTTGGCCCCAGCCCCTCCCGGTAACAGACAGGTTGGCCACTACTGGTCAGCGGAGGCCACGGGTGCCTTTTGTCATGACCCAGGTAGGTGTGTGTAATTCCACTTCATAAGCTCCTGGTAGGCCCTCATTCCATGAGTGATGATTACTCTGCACCCTTCAAGTGGCATTAGATGAACCGTGTCCCCCAAAAGTTACTTGTGACTCAGAATGTGGCTGTGTTTGGAGGTGGGGTCTTTACAGAGGTGATTAAAGTAAAAGAGGTCACAGTGTAGTCCTGACTGAATAGGACTGATGTCCACATAAGAGGTCAGAACATAGACACGCACAGAGGGACGGCCACATGAGGACCCAGAGAGGGGACGGCGTCCACATGCCCAGGGGAGAGGCTCCGGGGGAGCCGGCCCTGCCCACCCCCGGGAGAGGAAACGTTGGGACTCAAGCCCCAAGCTGTGGTGTCAGTGAGTAAGCCCGGGCTGGGAGAACAGGAGTACTGCAAGGCCAACACCTCCTGACTCCTGCCACCCAGGCCTGGGGCAGCAGGTGGCAGGCAGGGTGGGGGCCTGGCCCACTGACTTTACACAAGAGGCCTTGACTGGGCGCTGCCTCTGCAGGAGAACGTGCCTTCCACACCCTGTACCCCAGGGGATGGTGCTAGGCGCCCAAGCTCTGACACGGCTCCGCCCAACACCTCACTGAGCAGGCCATCAGGGACATGGGAAAGGAGCGGGGGCACCAACCCCTCAGGCATCCCATGTCACGGAAGGGCTGCAGGTGGGGAGGCGGAGTGCCCAGGGAGCAGAGAGCAGCCCTGACCAGGACAGACGGACAGAAAGGAGGGCCCTGGGGGGTGGGCAGCCAGGTGCTGAGAACCTACCCACTGCAGAGAGACAGGGTGACGCCTCAGCGGCTGGCCAGGCAGCATGTCAGCCTGGGGCTGCCCAAGGGCTGGAGCCCTCCTGGAGCTGAGGAGCCACCCCAGCTCCTGGTGCCCGGTTGCTTCCCTGGGCCCTTCCCGGCAGAGGCGCAGCCACCCCAGGCCTGAGAGGGACCCAGACCCCAGCACCATCTACGCAGACATGGGCTGTTGTCCTGCTGGGACCACTGCTTCCCTGCCCTGCCCTGCCCCAGAGCATGGCTGACTGTGGCGTGCCACCCGCAGAGGGGCGGCCAGGGTGAGGGGTGGTCTCAGCCCCCAGAGCAGGAGAGCCCAGACGGAAACAGAGGAGGCCCCACCCCATCCCACTGGGTAGATGGCCGGGAATATTACCCTGGGACCTGTGGGTCCAGCCAAGGACCAGTGAGCAGCCTTCATCCCTCCCCAGGGCAGAGCGGGAGGGGGGGTCACCACAGACGCCAGGCGTGGACAGGCCCAGGGGGTGTGGACAGGCCGGCAGGGGCAGCTGGCCTTGGGTGCAGGGCGGGCTGGTGCATTCTGGACCTCACTCCCTGGGTGCCTGCAGAGCTTCCCTGAACGACGGCAGGGCTGCAGAGGGTGTGTGCACCCAGATCCCGTCTCCGGGCGCTTCCACTAACAGGACCAGCTCTGGAGACAGTGGCCGATCCCCATGCTTCCAGGAACATAAGGGCACCCGGGACGAAGGCAGAAGACTCAGGAATGGCAAGACACCTAGCGCTCAAGAGGCGGAACTCACAACGTCTGGCGTCCAACCCAGGGGCACGGGCCTGCTGAGTGCTGGTGGGCAGGACCACAGGATGGAGAGCCACCAGCGGAGGGGACCCAGAACGGGGCCTGTGTGGAAGCAGCGGCCATGCTGCCAAGCAGCCGAGTCTACACACACTAAGCTTAGGCGACAGGGAAGGCGAGGAGAGGCCCAAACGCGCTGCAGGACCTGAGAACTCCATCGTGGCTTATCAGGTGCCGCAGACGCAGATCTGCGGGCTTGCAGGCAGCACAAGCCAAATGAAAGAAAGCACGGGAGGAGGGTCCCGCCAAGTGAGATGGCATCAGGGGGCGGGAACAAACCACTGACCTGACGCATGAATCTGAGGACCCGGAAGGAGAGGACAGAAAAGTATTTGAAGAAACTGGCCAAAACGTTTCCAAGTTTGATAGAAAGTGTGAACCCAAAAGCTCACTGAAAAGCAAGTGCTAGAAACACAAAGAAAGCTGCACGAAGGCATGTCCGAATCAAACTGTGGCCTGTACAGTACAGAGACAGCTGTGGTGAGGGTCTCTCTGCCCACAGCCCGAGGCTGGGAGCCACCCTGACGGCACTGGAGCTGGCGGCTGATCACACGAGGTGCCTTCCTGAGCTGTGCCGAGGGGGCCGCGCTGGAGAACTCGCCACGAGCATGGCTGGAAGTGCACAGGGCACCCCTCGGGCAGAAGGACGTGACCCCCAAGTCTGGGTCTGCGAGGAACCATGAGCGGGGTCTGGGCCAGCCCCACATGCCACTCGTATGGGAAGCTGGGGACCCTGGGCAGTGCCCCCAACCAGAGGCTTCGTGCACAGGCACCTGGTGCGTGGGGTCAGACCTCACCAGGCCATTCCCTGGCTCCCATCACATCCAGAGACACACAGACCCACTGTGGCAAGGGCCTGGGGTGCAGGGTAGCACAGAAGGCTCCCTGTATAGCAGGAGCCTGGGCTTACCTGGCCCCAGTGATGGGCTCGCGAGCATCCCTGGAAGCGCTGTAGTCCATGCCATAGAGGTTGAGCCCCAGGAGGATCTTGCTCCGCCACTTGGACTTGGGGTCTAGGACCTGCACACAGGCTCGTACCCAGGACAGTGGTGCATTGGGTCCCGGCCTGCAGGGCGAGGGACCAGTGGGCTTCAGCAGCAGGTAGAGGCCTTGGACACCCACTGTGGCATTGCAGGGGTTTGTGTATGGGGTGAGGAGGCGGCGGCAGCAGATGGCGGGCTTCCCGAGGTGGCTCCTCCCACACCCATGTCTGCGTCTGCTTTGCCAGGGCCCATGGCACAGAGGCAGCGCGGGAAGCTGCAGGACACTGCCAGTGCCCAAGGCTCCCCTTCCCCAGCAGCACCTTTGCAGGCAGGCAGGCAGGCAGGCCAGCATGGCACCCGCGGCCCACCCAGTGGCTGGGGCCTGAAGGCACACGTGGTGCCCAGGCAATGCTCCCCTGGAGGCTGCCCCTGCCCTGTCACATGCTCCCAAATGAGAAGGCTGCCCAATACAGGGCCAATTGTAGGTTTTGGGGAAGGGACCCAGAGAGCTGACAGCAAGTGGGCTGGAAGTTGGGCCTCAGTTCTGAGTGTCCTCCAGGGTGGATACCTCTGTGCTGAGCCATGGAGCCCACGGGGACTGTGGCGCCCCTACTCACTGCTGAGCTGTGGGGTAGTCGTAGGTCATGAGGCTGAAGCCATCTAGCACAGGGGCCAGCTGCTCAAACTCCCTGTGGGTGAACATGCCCAGCTGGTCGGTTCTGCAAAGAGAACACACGTCCCCACTCATCTCCCATGGCCCCGCGGTTCCATGGCCTGCCCTAGCCCCAGCTGACACCTGGGCAAGAGAGGACGGCGCAGGCTGGCGACACAGGCCCCCAGACCATGCACCTTCCTCCTTCCCCTGCAAGAGGGTCTCAGATCAATTTCCTTCCCAAGTGACTCAGCACTGTCACAAGGAAGGGGGTGAGGGCCACCAAGGGCCAGCAGTGGGGTTCGCTGTCAGACGTCAAGTGGAGGCTCATTTCTCTCCCTGCCCCTGTCCCTTCCCTCTCCGGGCATCCAAGGGTGGTGGGGCAGCCCCGTTAGGGGCAGTTTCTGCCATGGGGTCTGTCCACAATGCCCTCCACAGCATCCCGTGTCTTCACGAGGCAGCGGCCTCCTTCCAGGAGCTGGGCTCCCGTACGCTTCCTTTCCGCCGGCCCCTCCTCTCCCCCCACAGGGCAGGTTGCTCCAGGGCTGGTACAGCTGCAGGCACTGGACGCTGCAGGGCCTCTGGGCGGTTCCACCTGGACACGGAGAAGGGTCACCTGGGCAGGGTGGTGGCCCTGCAGCTGCCCTGCCTCTGGAGTCTCAGCCCTCCAGGAGACCCGAACCCCCTGCCCTCAGCAGCCCCTGCTTCACCCGCACGTGGCCGCCTCTTCCATCACCCTGATCGGCCGCCATGTTGGCCTAGGCCCTACCTGGGGAGCTGCCCCAGCTGTGGGGGGGCCCACCTTGATTGGTGCCAAGTACCCCCTCCCCCAGGTAGAGTCCTTTACCATTTCCCTGGTCTTTACCCCCGGGACCATGTCCACACTGCTTGACCTGCCATCTCCCTCTCCCCAGGCACCACACACACGCTGCCCTCACCCGCTCTCAAGGCCGAGACATCGCCTATCTGGTGGTGAACCCTTAAGTCCCACCAAGTCTCTGCAGCTGGTCAACCGGCCCCTGCTGCCAGCCATTTGGCCTGGCCTGGCCTTGCCTTGCCTAGGGACACCATCCCATTGGTGGCCCTGATGGGGCCTTTGCAAGTGATGCTGAAAGTGGGTACCACTGTCCACATGCAGCTCCCACCAGCTCTCAGGGTGCTCACATCTGCTCCCCACAAGCCTGGTCACCCAGGCCCCTGGCTGCCTCTCACCGGCCCCTCCACAGATGCTGTGCTCAGCAGCCAGTCTCTAAAATAGGGGCCCACCTGCCCTACTAGGATCCCACTAGTGGAACCACGGGCCACAGGGCCAGACCTGCTCCCCACTGGCCAGATGGAGTCCTCAGCCCTCCAGCCTAGACCCCACTCTGCATGCCCTGCTACCCTTGGCACCTGTTCTGCACCCATGGTGACCTGGCCCAGGCACCCCCCCAGAGCCTTCCACATGCCCTGGTCCCTGGTGACATGAGGCACCCCACCTTGACCATGGGGTGTCAGCCTGCCCAAAACTTGAGGAAACCATGGGGGCTGCTGAGATAGGGGTGGACATCTGTTGTGAGGCCACGCTCACCCCCAGGGCAGCGCTGGGCATCCAGACAGTACTGGCAGGAGCAGGGGGCTGGGCTCAGCAGGTCCCAGAAGGAAGCCTGGTTGACAGGTGGTATGTGCTGTGTGGGTCCCGGGGCAGCTCCTAGAGGCTAAGCAGGAGGGAAGACCTGTCATGTGAGGTCCTGGGGGCTGTGATACTTGGAAGACAGCGCCAGGGACTGACAAAGATGCTGAGCAAAAGCTCCCCGACAGCCCACAGGGGCATGGCTGAGGCCCTGGGAGCTGGGCTTGAGGTCAGCATGGCCACCTAGGCCAGCAGTTCCCGACACACCAGACAAGGGGCCCCCTCCCCAAGCCCGCACACCCCTGCAGTTATGTTTCTGTGCAGCGGCAGCCTGCCTTTGCGAGGTGAGGCCTTCAAGCTGTGGGACACAGGGTAGAGGTGCTGTTTTGGCTCCAGGGCTGCTCCCAGCAAGTGTGGGGTGGAGGGTGAGCCAGGGCCGGCAGTGACACAGACTTCCCGGGGCACTGCCTGCTCACCAGGCGGGAGGCCACAGCCCAGGCCTACGTCACACAGAACACATGCATGGGTGTGTGGGCTGGCATGCATGCCCAGGACCTCCCCGAGGCCCCCAGCCCAATAGCACTTCTGGGGCCACCCTCAGCCCAGCCATACTGGCCATGGTGCCTCCCTCTAAGCTGCCACGTGGAGGGAGCTTTCTCCCACCATGGCTGCACAGGGAAGGGCCCCTATGCACACTGTCCACCCCCTGCTTAGGTGCCAGGAGCTCAGCACAGATTCCCCGGCACCCTGGTAACAGCTGGAAGGCTGCTACACCCCCTCCCCAGATCCACACACCCGTTCTAGCCAGGCCCAGGGGTAGCCCCTTTCCCTCCCACACTCCCTGCCATGGCGTTCACTGCAAATCTGCAACCTGTATCCGCCAAGCAGCTAGGTCCTGCGGTGGCGGCTGCAGCTGGAGACTCCCCAGCCAGAGGATTGGGCAGCCCCCTAGCTGGAAGAACTGCCCCTGGCTTCCAAGGAGCCCGTCTCTACCCAGGGCATCTCATCTGTCCCACTGAAGACTCTAACCAAGAAGGGTAGCAGGTCTCCACCTGACTACAGCACCCACCCCACCCCAGCCACCCCCCGCCACCGGGGCCAAGGAAATGAGCATGTGTCTGCAGACAAAGCCACAGGCTCTGGGAGCCAGCTGCCCGCCTTCCCAGGGCACCAGCCCCTCCTCCACCCCAGGCCTGGCTTCAACCCCAGGAAGCTGCGGGAACCCCATCCTGGGAGCAGCGCCAGCTCCATCACACACCTGGACCATGAACACATGTATCACACATGTGACACACTGCAGGAGGGAGTTCCTGGACAGTGGGACCCTCCCAGCCAGAGTCAGCCTGGGGACATAGGTCTGAAAGCAGGCCTGTGGCCCCTGGCAGCCCACCCCGACTGGGAAAAGGCTGATGTCCTGACTGCAGAGGGCCTCAGGCCCCTCATGCCGGGCATGGAGGCCACAGCCCAAGGCCTCTGGTGACAGGGTGTGTGTGCTGTGTGGGGCACAAGCACAAGGTGGACAGCCAGGCTGGCACATGCTGGCCCTAGAGAACACAGCAGCACCTGGCAAAATGGGCACCTGTCTCAGCTGCCAGAGCACCCAGCAGGTACCAGATAAGCGCTGACCTGCTCTTTCCTTCAAAGGTCATGCCTGGACGCTGGCCTAGAGGCACGTCCAACTTGGTCTCACGATTGCTCACCACTCGGCTGCCACTCAAGAGCGAAGTGCTGGCCAGAGGTGACAGGCCAGGCCGGCTGCTCCCTTGTGAGGCAGTAGACAGGCAGAGGTGGCACCAAGCCCCCAGGTGGTCCTGCCCCAGCCTCTGAGGCCCTGCCCACCCTCCATCACTGTCCTGACCCTGACCCAAGGTCTGCCCTGGGTCCCCCCATCGGGATTCGGAGCCTCGTTTGTGTCCAGCCAGGTGAGATGCTCTGGGCAGGACGGACTGAGACTACTGGTGCCCCGGCCTCTTACCTTCCTGACCTGTGGGTTCCAGAATAGCTGCCTCGAGGGGCTGGGAAGTGAGCAGCCCGGGCACCTCCCCAACCCCCACCCCTTCCTGAGGGTGTGGCAGGCGGAAGATCAGCTTAAAGCAGGAACACTCAGCACCGCAGAGCCCCAGGGCGCTGCCTGAGAGGGCTCGGAGCATGTCTGAAACAGGCCTTCAAACTCAGGGACTTTAACATGGCTTCAAACTTTGGCTGGAAGCACTGACATGCGAGAAGGATGTGCTATGACTTCTGAGAGGTATCTGTGTGCCACCACGAGTGCCAGCCCTGGGCCCCATGCCTGCATGCCCACAGCTCTGGCATCCACCCAATGGGCTGGGCACTTACCCAGGAGTGACAGCTGGAGGGATGACCAGGATGGCCAGCAGCCGGGCCTGGTGCAGTGCCTCAGCCATGTGGGTGAGCATGTGGATGAGGCCCCTGTGAAGCACCAAGAGAACCGGTCAGGGGTGGCAGGGCAGGCGCTCCCTTGCAGGCACTTGCTGGCTGGCAGCACAGACCCCACAGTGGGCAGGTCCCATGGGGTCACCCTCTACACCAACTGGGTGTAGAGGGTGTGGCAAAGCCAGGCCACACTGGTCCCTCCTTGAGCTCAGGGGTGGAGAGCAAAGGGGGGTACTGCACAGCATCCCGTCACCTCCACATCCCCCCCCACAGCCTGGCAGGGATGAGGAAGGACCCACAGGTGCCCAGGGTGCTGGCCTGCTGGTGGCCAGTTCAGCTCAGGCCACGAGATGCCAAAAGGCCACACACTGGGCTGCACCAGGCCCTGAGCCAGAACCGAGGGGCAGCCCCACCAACTGGGTTGTGTGCTGAGGCCTGCACCACCCAGCCCAACACAGCAACCTCTGGCGTGGTGATGCCTGGACAGAGCTGTCTGCCTCTGCCCCAGATGGGGCACATCCCTCATGTCTGGATGTCGGCAGTGGCGTGGCCAGGGGGACAGAGACCACCTTGGCTCAGAGCATGGCCTGGGAACTCCAGTCAGGATGTCCCCAGCCTCCATGCCACGGGCAGCCCATGGGTCACCAAGCACATGGTGCCAGTGGGCCTCAGTGCCGCAGGCAGCCATGCTGCTCATACTCGGGGTTCAAGACGGCGCCCTACTCTGTGTGTTCCAGCCCCGTATCACTGTGCACAGGAGGCCCAGGACCCAGCGACAGGCCCTTAGTCCTTCCCCACGGCCTTGCAGGAGCAGCCTGATCTGGACAGTGGGTCAGAGGGTCTGGGACACCCAACTCACACCAGCAGGGGCGGTGGCTGTTCTGGCCACCCACACCCTCAGACCGTTTGAGCCTGTGGAAAACGGATGAGAGCCAGGCAGGACACGGCCGGCTGTGGCCTGAGGCTGCTTCTCCTGACGAAGTGGGGATGGGCCTGGCACCTACTGACTGCCAGACTGTGGTGGTCATCTTCCTGTGCCAGCTCTGGCTACAGGCAGTCCAGCGTGCTTGCCAGGAACACACTCACATGGAGAGGGTGTCCCCTGCCAGCAGGCACCAGGTCTGCCCTCAGCACCTGCCACTTGCTTCTGGGATGGTCCTAGAGGATGCACCTTTGTGAGAAGGAGTGAGTGATCTTGTGCCCCTGGGGCTGCAACTGCCCAGCTGTGCTCACTCCAGTGCCCAGGGAACAGGCCTCTCACCAGAACCAGGCGTTGCTCCAGCTGCTCAAATTGTCTGCTCCTCCCAGAGGACTCAGTGGGAGCAGCCAGGGCACCTCCCCCACCCCCAACCTTTCCTGAGGGTGTGGCAGGCAGAACATCAGCTTAAAGCAGGAACACTCAGCACTGCAGTGTTGCCAAGAGCAGGCAGGTGGACAGGCAGAGGTGGCACCGAGCCCCCAGGGTGTCACGGAAATGCCGTGTCAGGGTCCCCACGCCGCACAGGCCACAGATGTGTGTCCACAGCTGACAGCCACCTGCTCCAGTTGCCAGCAATGGCCTTTCCAGGCTGACCTGCTGCCTCAGAAGGAAACAGGGCTCTCAGACATCTAGTCAAAAGCTTAACAAGGGTGGCAGGAGCAGCAGCCTTGATAAATGTCCCCATGATGCCTCACCACAGCTCTGCCTGTCCTGGAAGGTGGCTCCCAGACAGCAAAGGGCCTGATGCCATCTGGTCTCTGCCCTGCTCCAGCCCTGCCCCCAAGCCCACCCGGATGGCAGCTCCCACCTCTTCCTTGCCAGAAGAACGGACGCTACAAGGGCCCCGAGGCTGCTCAGGCCCTCTCCTCACCCCGCTGCATCTGCCTCCGTCCCCCTCCCTCAGCCCCCTCCTTTGAGCCCCGACAGAATGAGGCTGTCTCTGGAGAACTGTTGCAGATTCTATCTCCAGCTCCCTCCCTCAGAAGGAGCTAGAAGGTCACCTTGGCTGGCTGCTGCCCAACAAACGGAGGCACAGCCTGTGGGTGAGGAGCGTGTTCTGGCCGAGTGCCAGCGCTCTCAGTTGACACAGGGACCCCTCATGCTTCCAGCTTGGCTCCTGCTGTCCCTACCCATCCTCCCTAAACCCAGACCTCACAGCCTGCACGGAAATGGAAGGCGGGAGAGCCTTTCAGAAGCATCATTGGGATGGGGGTCGGAGCACAGGGAAGCAGGAAGCCTGGCAGGGAGCAGGGAGCTGTCAACTGTGGACATACAGCTGTGGCCTATGTGGCGTGGGGACCCTGACACGGCATTTCCGTGACACCCTGGGGGCTCGGCGCCACCTCTGCCTGTCCATCTGCCCGCTCTTGGCAACACTGCAGTGCTGAGTGTTCCTGCTTTAAGCTGACGTTCCGCCTGCCACACCCTCAGGAAAGGTTGGGGATAGGAGAGGTGCCCTGGCTGTTCCCACTGAGTCCTGTGCCCCCCCACCTCCAGGGCGAGAGCCCCCCAACATGCCTGGTTGCAGGCAGACCCTCCTCTGGGCCTCAGGTGGGAGTCCTGTGCCACCTTTGTAGAACACCCTGGACACTTCGATCTGCCTGCTCTTGGCAACAGATTGGTGTGAGGCTGTGGCCCCTGAGTGGGCACACAGGTCTGCAGCTACAGGAGAGAGAAGCGGCTGGCCCAGCACTCTCTTCTGGGGCAGGTGTGGTGGGGAAGTGGGGGCTTAGGTTTTGAGCTTGGATCCCTTTGGGCAGAAAAGGGGGGCACAGCCAGTTCCGGATCCAAATGTAGCTGGCTACAGGGCTCTGCTGCCCACAGCACCACATGGCTGCATCCTGGCTCTGCCACGCATACCTACAACTGCTAGGGCAAGATTCAGTCCCTCCTTGTCTTCTGTGGAGCTGACCCCATCCCTAACAGAAGCAGGAAAGCACATGCTACAGGAGACTTCACCACTCCCACCTTGCTAGGTCCCTCTCGCCCAGGGGAGCATGGCCCACAAGACTCAAGGACAGGGGAGGGGCTACACATGGCTCCCTCCCAGGAGGCTGGCACAGAACCAGGGTGACGGCTTCTTTTCCCAAATGACTCTGTGGTCTGCTACTCTGAAGGCCCCCAGCCGGCCTCTCCTCAACATCCCTGGAAGGCTCGGCTCTGCTGTGTCGAGCCGAGTTCCTGCTCGTGTCCAAGCCTGCCTCTGCCACCATCGCCCGGGCTGTGGATCTCTGGTCCTGGGCCCTCCTGGGCCAGGCCCATCATGCTCCCTTCCCACCCAGCAGGCATCAGGGCTGGTGAGGCAGTGCTGACACCTGCCTGAGGCTTTTCTCAGGGCGCCATCCTGCCCCAGAACATACAGCTGTGGCCTATGTGGCGTGGGGACCCTGACACGGCATTTCCGTGACACCCTGGGGGCTCGGCGCCACCTCTGCCTGTCCATCTGCCCGCTCTTGGCAACACTGCAGTGCTGAGTGTTCCTGCTTTAAGCTGACGTTCCGCCTGCCACACCCTCAGGAAAGGTTGGGGATAGGAGAGGTGCCCTGGCTGTTCCCACTGAGTCCTGTGCCCCCCACCTCCAGGGCGAGAGCCCCCCAACATGCCTGGTTGCAGGCAGACCCTCCTCTGGGCCTCAGGTGGGAGTCCTGTGCCACCTTTGTAGAACACCCTGGACACTTCGATCTGCCTGCTCTTGGCAACAGATTGGTGTGAGGCTGTGGCCCCTGAGTGGGCACACAGGTCTGCAGCTACAGGAGAGAGAAGCGGCTGGCCCAGCACTCTCTTCTGGGGCAGGTGTGGTGGGGAAGTGGGGGCTTAGGTTTTGAGCTTGGATCCCTTTGGGCAGAAAAGGGGGGCACAGCCAGTTCCGGATCCAAATGTAGCTGGCTACAGGGCTCTGCTGCCCACAGCACCACATGGCTGCATCCTGGCTCTGCCACGCATACCTACAACTGCTAGGGCAAGATTCAGTCCCTCCTTGTCTTCTGTGGAGCTGACCCCATCCCTAACAGAAGCAGGAAAGCACATGCTACAGGAGACTTCACCACTCCCACCTTGCTAGGTCCCTCTCGCCCAGGGGAGCATGGCCCACAAGACTCAAGGACAGGGGAGGGGCTACACATGGCTCCCTCCCAGGAGGCTGGCACAGAACCAGGGTGACGGCTTCTTTTCCCAAATGACTCTGTGGTCTGCTACTCTGAAGGCCCCCAGCCGGCCTCTCCTCAACATCCCTGGAAGGCTCGGCTCTGCTGTGTCGAGCCGAGTTCCTGCTCGTGTCCAAGCCTGCCTCTGCCACCATCGCCTGGGCTGTGGATCTCTGGTCCTGGGCCCTCCTGGGCCAGGCCCATCATGCTCCCTTCCCACCCAGCAGGCATCAGGGCTGGTGAGGCAGTGCTGACACCTGCCTGAGGCTTTTCTCAGGGCGCCATCCTGCCCCAGATGCAGCTGCAGGGAGGCCCTCCCCAAGACGGGGCTCCCTTACCACCCCCCGACGCCCTGCCTGGCTTCCAGCAGGGCACCTGTGGGGCCGGGAAGAGCCTGGAGCAGAAACGCCCACCCCACCCGAAGTCCACTCACGCGTGCTTCTGGCTCGGCAGCTGGCTCCAGACCTCCAGCACGAAGCCGTCAAAATGCTGGCTCTAGGGGGAATGGGGGAGGAGGGCCCGAGGACCCAGGAAGGAAGGGTGGGAAGGCAGACACAGAGCCAGCTGTCCCTGCCCACCCGTGAGGTCACCACCCAAGAGCTGTGTTGTTCATGCTACAGGCCCAGCAGCCCCTCTCTGAAGGGGTAAGCAGGGAGGGTCCCCACAGGAGCAGAGGGGCAGGGGTTCTCAAGCACCCTGTCAGCTCATGTGCCTCCCCTAATCCCAGTCCCTAGGGGCCTGAAGGGTTCTCTGAGACCCTGCAGCCCAGTGCCAGCCAGAGGATCCTGGAGTCAGATGGGAACCCAGGCGGCTGGTGCTGGGCCCAAGAAGTGCCTTGTGGGGAACTGGACCTTACCTTGGCAACATGGACCACCGTCCTGCCGAGCTCTTCTATCTCATCCTCACTGTCCAAGACGTTCCGGAAGTCCTCGTGAGTCCAGTCCTCAAACAGGAGCCGAGGCACTGGGGGGCCAGACCCGTGCAGAGACTGTGACTCTCCTGGCTTGTTCTACCCACACCACAGGGTGGCCCTTGGCCTCCAGAGCTCAACACCTTGTCCCAGTGCCACAGGCCTGGTGCAGGAGGGGCCCCACGGAAGAACAGAGATGCTGACCCCTCTCCCCTCACACACCAGGTCCCTGGGCATCAAGCCCCTTGCTGCCTGGCTCTTGCTGGATCAGCCTCCAGGTGACAGGACCACATGGACCTCCACTGCCTCTAACCAGAAGCCCCAGCTGGCCCTGCTCCCCAGACACCGCTGAGCCCACTGCACTTTGGAGCAGCGTCCCTCCCTCACCACCTGTGAGCTCCAGGGCAGGGCAGGACAGGGCTGGTATCATTCTTGGGCCCGGTCCCCAGGGCCCCTGGTAAAGGCTCACTGGATGAACAAGGAAGAAATTGAGCACAAGTCCACAGGCAAAGAAGGTGCCAGCCTAGGGGCGGAGGCCAGGTGGGCAGGAGGGCCCAGGGCCAAGGCTGGACTAAGGGCTGTGAATGCGAGACTGGGAGCCAGCCTTGTTTCTGAGTGGTCAGAAGTGGCTGATGTGGTGGGCGGCAGCCAGGGCCCAGCTGCTCTGAAGGCCCAGGCCTCGGAACTTACCTATGCGTAAGATCTTGGCCTGCTTCCTGACCACCCGCATCCACCCTGCAGGACGTGGAAAGGACAGTCAATGTGGGGACACAGCCCCCTGCACATATGAAGACCCGGCCCACTCCAAGGAGGAAAATGCAGAGCCACCACATGGGAGTAGAGGGGAGGACATTCAATGTGAGGGTGTCTCCGCTATGACCCTGAGCACCCAGGCTGCTCAGATGACAGGGCTACGACAGGGGCTACCGATGCCCAGGGCCTGCGACTGTTTCTGAGCTGAGCTGAGGGGCATCCGAGGGCCCAGAGCTGCCCAGCTGTGCCCTGACACACTGTTCTCCCAGTCCTGGGGAGCAGCTCCAGGTCAGAACTCCACAACTGGATAATATGTCCTCTCTTCAAACCCAAAAAAGGGGTGACTGTGTGAACTCAGGCATGTGCCCACAGAATGCAGCTGTCAGGGCCCCTGCTCCCTCTGGACACCCTGCCGCGCAAACTGCCAAGGGGTCGGGGCAAGTCACCATACTCACACACAGAGACACACCCACTGACAGACACGCACACACCCTCTGGGCCCTCAGGATGAGCACAGACGAGCAGCAAGGTCAGAACCTTGGTCCACGTCGTGGAGGCCTGTGACCTCGAACATCTCACGGCCGCGCCTCTTCAGTTGCAGCCATACCGGCGAGATGTGTGTGAACTTGCCCCCGAAGGTTTTGGCAACATCATAGCCATGGCTGTTCCACTGGCAGAAGAAAGAACGGTAGGCGCACTTGCAGGTGGAGCCAGGAGGCCTAGCAGCCACCTTTGCACACATAACGAGCCCCAGAGGACCCCGACACGATTTTCACCTTGTGGGAGGAACCTGTCCACTGCACCCCTGCTGTGGTGGGGAGGGGAGAACACAGACCCCAGTGGCTGCCTTGCCCTCAGGACCCCCCTGCCCACCCCAGGGCCCGGCTTACTGGAGTGACATAGCCCAGCACGTCCCCAGCGAAGTGCCTCTCCCGGGCCTGGGCCGAGCAGTAGCTGCGGTGCTCGAGAACCACGTCCTCAGCCCTCAGGTCTGTCACCACCAGACCCCGATCCTGTACAGGCTTATCTGAAAACTGAGTCTAAAGCAAAAGGAGAAAAGCCGCCGGTGCTGTCAGGCCCGGGCGGAATGACGCCCAGAAGCAGCCCCCTCTCTGCACAGCCCGCACTGTCCCGGGGCCCACAGGTGCTGCTGACTGGGAGATGGCAGGGCCAGGCCCGCCCTTGGGGAGCTGACAAGCTGAAGGCTCACTCTGCCTCCCTGGGCCACCCACAAGGGCAGGGTCCATGCTCAGTGTGGCTCTGATCCGCCTGGCTGCCAGATGGCAGGACTCAGAGGGCCAGGGCTGGAGCGCGGGCGCTGGAGGCAGCAGAAGGCAGCAGAAGGCAGCGTGGGGGCAGACTCGCCAACCAGCCCCGCCGCAGACACTGCTCCCCACCAGACCACCCGGCCGGGGCCCCGGGGAGGCCGACCAGTCACCCAGGGCTGAGCCCTCAGCCTCCGGCTCACAGGCCCTCGCACGCAGCCCCCAGGCCACCCCTACCTTCTCCAGCAGTGTCTTCGAGGCAGCTTTTTTGGCATCTGACTTTGACAGGGTAGTGTGAACGGGGCTACAGGCCACAGCAAGCCAGAGTGTGCTGAGGAGCACCTTCATGGTGGGGGTGTCACTGTAGGGTCCAGCCTCAGGGTTTGGGGGGCTGCAGAGAAAGCAGAGCATGGGGGAACCACCACCAGCAGTATCCCCTCTGCCAGTTGGGGCACTTGTCCTTACAGGGACTGGGTCCTTGTGGCAAGGGGCTGGGCACTGGCCCCAGGACAGAACTGTGCTCTGGGTCAGACCCAAGAGCCAGAGTCGAGCTTTCAGCACTGTTGGGCCCCAGGTTCCTCTCAGACACCCGGAAAGGCATGTCCCTGTTGCCAGCCACGGAGCCCCTCCGCACTGCCTCTAGACTGTCCTGACCATGGCCGGCCATCCAGGAAAACGTCGGCTGCCCCCACCCCACAACCCAAAGAAATTTCAGCCACTAGAGGGCTTAAGTGTAAAATAAGAGAGCCATGGAAAAGACTAGAAGAAACATGGCTATCTGTTTATGTATATGCAGGGCAGGGAAGGCTTTCCCAACAGTGTCAGCAAGGGCAAGATCATCAAAGAAAACACCAAGTGCTTACTACATAAAAATGTGCAACTTTCATCTAGGGAACAAAAAAGCAGATTTGAAGAGATAATAACCAGAGGAAAAAATAGGTCATAACTGACAGTGAACTTTCTACCCATTATCTAGACATAACATGCAAAGGACTCTTATAAATGCAGAATAAAAAACACTCCAGTAAAGATAAGGAATGGACATGAAGGGGAGCAATACACAGATGCCCCACAACAGACACTGTACTCCTGATACCTCATGATCCAGAGATGTCCTGTAATACAGAAGTCCCCCGTGACACACAGAGACAACCCCGGCCCCAGGAGCACCTAGGCTTCACCAGCAATCAAAGGAATGGACACAGAAACAAGACTGCATTTCCACCCAGCCTCTGTGAGGACTAAAAAGAATGATGCTATCTCAAGCAGCAGCAACTCTCCTGAGCTGTTTCTGGAAATTCAAGCTGGGAAACCTTTTCGGATGACGATCTGGTCATAAGCATACTTCCCAACAATTGTTTCCTTTCTTTCACAAACTACACTTGGGGACTCCCCGACTCATGCGGAATTGGCAAAGGATGTGCATCCCAGTGCTGTCCGAACACAGAACACCCGTTGTTTCCACACGTGGGGGTATGAACAGGCACGGCAAGGCCAAGGACACACTGGTCAGTGCAAGCATCACAAAATTCATACACACAGCAGGGCCCCATCTTTATTTAAAAATGCCTATGCAAGTATACCCACAGAAAGGGCAAAGAGGGGCACGTTGAGGAACAATAAGCAGGCCATCTGGGCTGCCAGGCACACCATCTCCTCTCTGGCCACTGGGCTCTTACTAGCTGGGCAGTTCACTTCCAGGTCCTGCTCCCCAGCCCCCAAATCCTGCCTCCTGTCTTTTGCTCAGGGCAGCTGATGACGAGCAGGCCCAGTCTGCCTATCTTCCTTGATGAGGCTTTAAGACGTGTGGGTGTGAAGAGCATGTCAGTCTCATGGCCCTGGCAGTGTGCCCCCTCCAGACCGGCCAAGGGGCCCACCCAGTGGCAGAGCTAGAGGAGACCCTGCAGGCCCCCAGGGAACTGGAGGCTGGCTCAGCACCGTGCCCAGAGGGACCACCGGGAATACCAGAGCCCTGGCCAGTCAGTGTGCTCTGTCAGGAACTGGCAGACCCAGGGCCTACGTGACTCACCCCTCCACTCCAATGACCTCCTGGCCAGGAGCCTGTTTTTACCCCCTCCAAAGCCCTCCTCTCGATCTGCTTCCCTTCACGGAGTGACACAGCTTTAGGGGGTCACTCCTCTGGGTGAAGGGAAGCCCTAGCTGCCCTGGGCAATGAGCTTCTTCCATGCTGGCACCTGATGCATCACAGCATGCTGGGTGGGGCCTTCCCCAAGAGGCAGGGAGGACCAAAGGGACGCGTCTGTCATGGAGCTGCTGGCAGCTCTGAGAGGGCTGTAGGGAAGGGATATGAAGATCCAAGCCCAGACCGCCACCCTTGGCCCCTTCCCACCAGCCTCTGCCTGTGACACACACTTCCAGTGTCAGAATCAGCAAGGACGGCAGCCTCTGCCCCAGCATCTGGCCATCACAGCTGTGACCAGGGCTGCTCGGTCAGAGCTCTGGGACTGAGGATGGCTGTGGGAGGGGAGAGCAGCCCAGAATCCAGAATCTGCTTGGCCAGAACCTGCAGCTGCCTAGCTTCAAGGAGCCAACACGGGGCACTCTGGGCACCGTGAGGCTCCTGAACAAATGTGCTTCCAGAATGATGGGCTTACAGGAGGGGCTGGAGAGCTGACTGAGGGTCATGGCCGTGACAACGGAACCTGCTGGCAGGAGCCACATGGAGCTGAGGCAGGGCCCACTCTGTCTGTCCCAGCCCCTCTGGGCCTCCTCCATGGCCAAAGGCTCCTCCTCGGCTCCAGGGCAAACTTCTGGGTCACTGATGACGGAAAGAGGTGAGAGACCAAGCAGGAGGCAGGCCTCTGGGAGTGGTCTGGCAGGACCAGGGGTGCGCCCAGGAGCCCTCTCCACCCTCATCCTCAGCGTGCTGCCCTGCCTACTGTCCTGCACACAGGTGGGAGCACCACTATTCACCTACCCAGTCACCCCTCTGGCTTGGCCCTGGCCTGATTTCACACCACAGGGAAGAAAAAGGAATGTGGGGAGAGGAGGCCCATCTGGAGGAAGATGGGCCTTGCCAGTTTCTGGGGGCAGTGGAAGGGAACCAGACTGAGCATGAGGCCTGGGCTGGCACCACCACTGACCGATGGCATGGTGTGAGCCAGCTTTAGGATACAGCATGACAGCATCAGGGGAAAGCACTGGGTGTGGGCTGTACTCAAGTGCGGGCAGCTCCCTGACTGGCCGTGGAACTTTCCAGGCCAAGTGTCCAATACTTGTTGGGGACACATGTAAGCTGCCCATGAGGGTACTTGAGACATGGCAAGGCAGTCTGGGCACCTCCCATGGCTCCCCAGTGTTCACTGTGCTGAGCTGCCCGCCCAGCCACTGTCTCAAGGTCTGAGGGCAAATTCTCCCATCATGCTTTTCACAGAGCCGACTTGGGGCTCTCCATGATCTCACACACCTGTTCTTGCATCAAAATGTGCTGCTTCTTCTTCCCACACCAACCTCCTTTGGGCAGAGCAGCTCCTTCAGAGGGAGTGCGGTGTGTATTGACAAGTTCACACCTGTCACCCGGAGGGATTCTTAACAATGCAAACTGGAGTGTCCTTTGAAGGCTGGGGCTCAGGCCTGCTCCATAATCCCCAGCGGCCCAGCCTCACTATTCTAGGGGCTCCGAGCTCGAGGGACAATTGTCTCAGTAGTATGTGGACCAAAGGATGGCAGCTCACACTGTGACTTTCAAAGGTTTTTTGAGATCCACACCAGGAAATAGTTTGTCTTGGCTCAGTACAAGCGTGTTTCTCACGTGCATGCAGAGGTGTGTAGAGTGAAAGCAGCCAAGCCAGGCTAGCCCTGCTCCAAGGCACTGACCTCTTTTCCGTTTCGTTTTTAAGGACCTGGTTTTTACGCATCAAACTGGTCTTACTATTCAGCGATGGGCAACTTGAGAGATGCCAACTTTCTCTGCATCACCAGCAGCACCTGAGTCCCCTCTAATCACCGCCGGCTGCAGTTCACAGCAAGTGGAAGGGTGACGTTCTCGCCTTTGAGCAGCTTCTGTCGCCACCGGTGCTCCTGCGGTGAGGCATGAGCGTGCAGGAGGTGGGACATGCTCGTTGACCGGGGGCTGAGCTTCAGGCCCTGTGTTAACCCGGGGTTCTCTCCGCGACGGGGGGACCGGGCGCTGTTACGATGCGCACTCACAGGAGAGCCCGGGCCGGAGCGCAGCGCACCGAGCGCCTGGACTTGCAGCCAGGGCGCCGCGCCAACTCGACAGCGAGGACACCAGGGAAGCCCCATATCGCCCAACCACTGTCACCAACCCTCTGTGCCCTGCCCTCTCTGGGCTCAGGTCTAGTGACCAGGGAAGCTCGGGGCGGGCAAGTGGGTCTCCAGCGTGGAAAGTGCAGCTTGCGGGGCTGAAGCGGGCGGGCGGGGCCGCCTGGGGCGTTCAACAGCTCGGGCCACCTTCCCCACCGGCCTGGTCACCTGGCCTCCGGGGACAGGACAGCCACCACTTTCTCTGTCTCACCCACCGACGCTCACAACCACCTCAGTCACACCGGCGGCGCTGCTCAGACGGCCGCCCACTCAGGCCCAAG